AGGGCTCTCAGCCCAGTCCCGGTGGCCTGAGAGCCTCTGTTCTGTTCTTTGTGTGAACCTTTTTTAGTTTTACCAAGCATTAAGGTCTGGAGGATGTTGTAATGCTCCAAACTATTCTCATTTGCTGCCTTTCCTCATGGGTGACTTGACTGAAAGTTGCCCAGCTCAGTTGTTTTGGCTCTTGTCCTGGCTTACAGACATGTGAATGTGACATGCTTTGCTTCTGCTTGTAAATAAAAAACCTAAATTATAAAAAAAAGGTCTAGTATTCACTTCTCCAGAAAAGCCCAACTCCTAGAAAGTGGTGACTGCAGAGTGAGTAATGCTCCATTCACTCCCACTCCCTCTTCCCCCAAAAGAACAGGAAAACCCTCCTGAACACATCTTTGATAGAAAATCCTCCTGATGAGATTGATGTCGTGATTTTTTGAGAGACTGAGGAGATTTGGGATAACGATGGAAGCTCTGCTTTTTGGATGAGATGCTTCAATGGAAACATCTTCTAAAAATATCCTATCTACAAGAAGAATCTATTCTTGCAAATTGGAGCCCAGTATTAAAGAACATACTGCTGGTTGCAAAGGGTCCAAATTAAAGAAACAGACCAATATTCCCCTTTCTCTTTTTGCTTTCCAACTCCTTACAGAATTGCTGGATATTTATTGCAGACTTTACACAGCATGAAGATAAAACTGGAGAATGAGATGCTGCAAACTGTGGCACTTGAGCTGCAGTGGAGTTTGCTCAGAAGGTAGAAAGTGGCCGATTGCTCTGCACATCCCTTTATTCTGTCTCCTGCCTCGTGTCTTGGCATGAAACAAACATTATCTAGTCCTTGTGAAAAGTCCTGGAGTAGAGAATGTGTCTTGGCTGAACCTGATTGAAAGGGCTGAGGAAAATCTATCCAAGGAAAATAAATTTCTGGTGGAGCAGCCAACAGAGTGTGTGACATGAATCACTTCTGGAGGGATGGGGGGACAGAGAGGTGGTTTTGATTGGGCTCTGGGAAATATGGATGAAGGGGGGGGATAAAGACCCTTTTTATTTGTCCTTACAGACACAGTTAAGATATAACCATCTCTTTATAGCCTAAAATAATTCAGTTCTTAGTGTTTTCTCACCACTTCTTGTTCCCATGGCTTCTCTTTCCACCTTGTACCCTGAGCTTTCTGATCCTCTCTAAATCTTGCAGAAGAGCATCTCCCTTTCCTCCTGCTCTGTGGACCATGGAGTTGGGTATCTCAGGGCAGTGTTGGCTTTCATCCCAGAGGGAATTGGATGCATTGGTTTAAATTTAACTTCCTAGGGTGAGGTCTCCCTTGTTTTGGGGCAGAGCAGAAGGGAACCAGGGAACTTCCCATCTCTGGAAGTGTCGCAGGCTGGGCTGGGGACGTGTCCCAGCCCATATCAGGGAGTGGAGCACGATGGTTTTTTGTAAGGTTTGTAAGGTCCTTGGCAGCCCAGACCATTCTGGGCTTCTGTATCTGCACATCCCCCAAAGTCCAGCAGTGACAGCAACCCCACAGAGCTGCTCTGGGGTCAGTGTTTGGGGACCCCACAGAGCTGCTCTGGGGTCAGTGTTTGGGGANACCCCACAGAGCTGCTCTGGGGTCAGTGTTTGGGGACCCCACAGAGCTGCTCTGGGGTCAGTGTTTGGGGAGGCACCTCACAGGGCTGCTCGTGTAGGGAGGGAGAAGAGCTGGCAAAGCACCCCTGGGTGACAGGGACACGGTTCCCTGGCTGCTGTCTGTGCTGTCCCCGTCCAGCCCTGTGGGGTCGGGGTTTGTCTGTCCCCTGTGGGGTGTGTCTGTCTGTCCCAGTGCCTGTCCCCCTGGCTCCCAGGCTGGCTCAGGAGCTCCCTGTTCCCCTGTTTGCACTCCCAGCAGGGAGGAGCCCTGCAGGAGCAGAGGCAAACCTGCCACGTCTGCTTGATACAGCCCCGCATTGTCCTTGACAAGGAAAGAGCCTTCCAGTAACTCACCTTGCCAGCAAGAAATAGGATTTATTTTTCAATTTTTTTTATTAGGAGCAGCTGAGTTGCTTGGAATCAGTACAGTGTTTAGTGACACCCAAGGAGGATGTGCTTTTGTGAATAGGAAATGCTGCTTAATTGCTCAAGACGGCAGTTTATTCTTTCACATTATGGAATTGCAGTCAGTGTGAACCCAGCAATGTGGCTCTGAACTCATTATTTTGATTTCTTGCTCGCTGCCTTGACATAGTAGAAAGCATCTTTCCCTTGCAGAATGAAATGCTGAATCTTTCTGTTCTAAATGAGATTAAATTAATACTGCATTCTGGGGAGCTCTTCTACAAATAATCAGCAGCATTCTGCTCTTCTGCAGGATTGTGTTAATCATCAGACATGAGTGGAAGGACTGTGGCCACATAAAGCTGTGTAACAGGCCAGCAAAAACCTGGAAAGTGCTGATGGATAACTCAGGTATCTCTGGGAAGAGAAGCAGGCTGCAGGAATCCTGAGTCACAGAAATAAAATAAATATAATTGACTGTACATTTCCCAAACAGCAGCTGAATCCAACTGTTCTAAAGTAAAAACGGTTTTGTTTTCTCCTGAACATGTGATGTACAATCCTTTTTTTAGCTGCTGGTGTTTTTTAAACTATAGGGAATTGTGAATGACTTGTGTGAATTTATAGTGAGTTTTGAAAGGCTTGAAAGCATTTTGGAGTGTGTATGTGTGTACACACTGTGCGTGGTATACAACCAACTTTTTTAAGGAAGCCTCTGTGTTTATTTAGGTCCCAGCAGTTTGAGGCTCCTGCTCTCATCTCTGTAGTTGCAGGTATGGTTAAGTTTGTTGGCTGCAAGGAGGAAATCTGCAGTGTCTTTTTCAATGCAATCTCAATATAATTTTATTAAAGCAGGTTTTAGGACAAGCAGGAGGTGAGATCTGCAGCACCAGTGTTTTATCTTCATTTTCTAACTTGCTGTGGCAAAAGCAGAGAGCTGTTAGATAAGGAGATTTTAAAGATGAGACTTGTCAGTAAGAAAACAGCCAGTAAGCCTTGCTTAGTCAGCCTTCAAATGGAATTAAGTGGTTGCAAATTAATTTGTTCTTAATAAACTAAACTGAACACAGTTACCAGGACTTTGTTTGTGAGGTCCAGTAGACTTCTTGTAGCTTTTTTGTTGTTGAAAGTTCTGTTTTTATATCAAAGGACATAAATCCTGGATTCTTTGCTGCCTTATGAAGGTCAACATCAGGATCGTCCTATATCAGTCTGGAAAGTTTTGCCCAAAACCTTTAAGTGCTGCTTTTTAGCTCCTATTGGCCTTACTCTCCCCTTTTTTTTTTCTCCAAACTGGAGACTGTGAAGGTGTCTGCTGCCACACTTGTAATGGAAGAGGATGCACTGGGGAGGAAATGCTGCCTGTGCACGTTCTGTTTGGCAAGCTGCAGTTGGAGCAGCGTTGCCTATTGCCCCAGATCTCCAAGGATGAGCCTTTCACAGGCTCTTAGTGGGAATAGTTGACATAGTTTGCATGCAAAGATTTTTTTTTTAATAAGTATAAATAATCCTTGACCAAAGCCCAAGTGGGCTTTGCAGCATTTTGCTTTTTCCCTTAGAGAAATAAAGGGAAAGTGCTACTCTGGGAGGTAAGAGTTCAGCTCTGGAATGTGCCTAAACATGCTCTTGTGACTTCCCTGGCGAGCACGGAGCATCTGTGCTGTGTGAGGAGCTGTGTGCAGTGAGCTGGGGGCAGCAGGGGTCACCCCGAGCCCCGGTGGCTCTCTGAGCTTCGCTGGCTCGCTGTGGCCACCTCTGCTGTGCTCCCGGAGCTCTTCCAGCCCGGACAGGTGTCTCCCTGAAAATATGTGCCAGTGTTTGCTGTCTGCTGGGGAAGAACAGTGTTCCTTTGTCGCTGTTTGGGGAGAGGAGGGAAGCCAGCCAAGTTCAGTGCTGCTTCATGGCAGAACATATCTCAGTCCTTTGAAGTTGTGTGCTTTTTAAAACAAGACCATCTAGACTGCAGCTCTGCAATTCTTCCTTGCATTCACTGAAACGTGCTCCAGTTAGAGATGTGTTCTTCTACTAAGATTTCTTCTATTAAAATTAATTCTGTCTACTTTTTAATCCTCTTTCTGTTCCTGCTCTGATGTTTGGGAGAGAGCTGCTAGTTCTCTATCCTTTTGGGGGACACAACAAACCCAACATTTCTGCTAGTCAGTCATCTTCTTGCTCTCAAATGCCACCTCTTTTAAATACCTGGGCTCCAACTTTGGGCATAAAGACTGGACATCCCTTCAGTTCCTAGGAGATAAAACCAAGTGTCTTGATGCAAGAAATGTTGCCTGTCAAAATAAGTTAATAAGATGCTGGCAAAGGTTTTATTTCCTGGAGAGTGTTCAGCTGAACTTCATGGTTTCCCCATTCCTTCGTGGGAATCTCTGGATCTGGGTGCAGTTGGTTGTTGAGAAAGATCAGGGTGGCAGTGGCACTTGAGTGGTTTTGTGAAGTTTTTTGTTTCAGGTCCTGGGAGACAATTCTCAGGAGATGTAAAAAGACATGGGCTCCCGTTATAGCAGTTGAGTTTGCACGGGGAGGGATTTGTACATGTGTGTCCTGTTAAATCCCATTTTCACAGGGAGCTTTCCAGTGGAGTTGGGAGTGGGTACGTGGTGTGCTGGGCTGCTGCAGTTAGCAGTGAACTGAATTAAAACCTCCTCCCTGAGAGCTGCAACTCCTGACACTTCCCAGCACAGGTTCAACTCCATTCACTCACTGTTAAAATTCTCCTTTTCCATTCAGCAGGAATTCGTGTCCTGCAGGGAGCACTGAGCACAGATGGGGATGTGCCTTTGGGGGGATCCTTTCAGGCTCAGGGTGGGCACCAGCAGGAATTTGCCCGTGGGAAGGGTGGTCAGACACTGGCAGGGGCCACTCAGGGCTGGGGACACACTGGGGACCAGGCACAGCCTGGGCTCCGTGGGCTGGGAGATGTTTTCCAGCCCAGATGAGTCTGTGATTGCCACACAAACCGTGATCTGTGCTGGGCTGCTCCAGGGTGAGCTCCCTGTTCCCTGAGCAGTTCAGCTTCAGGACTGAAGGTTGGCAGAGGGATGTGCAGATATTGCTGTTTTCTGCTGTTAAATATAATTTTGGGCAACCTCTTGTCCCCCTGGCACAGATCAATAAATCCCAGTGATGGATTTTCATCCCTTATTCCCAGAAAACTGCTCAGTTCCTGCTCAGGCTGTGTGGGTGCCTGCAATCCTCTCATGGCCCTGGCAAGGGCTGAAACTGCTCCCAGCTGCCTCGCTGGCCTTTGTGTGGTCATCAGTTTATTTGAGAGCTGGGAGTGTGTTAAAAAGGTTCTGTAATGCAAAGTACTTGTCACTTAGAAATTGGACTTGTATTTTCTGTGTTACCATGTTTTAACTCAAAACTTAAGGCAGTATTGTTATTTTAGATGTAATTATAAGCTCCAGCAGGGCTCCTGTCTCTTTCTATAGTATTCTATACTTTTTGAAAATACCTGAGAAGCGAAGCATAGGGGAGGTAATTGATTAACACTGCTCCCTGTTGGAGCAGGAATGAAGCTGAGGCATATTCTAGTTGTTCAGTAAGAAGGTTTCTATTGAAGGTGCCATTTCTCCATCCTGAATCTCCTCTCCCCTGGAGCCTATTCCAGGTCTGCCTGTCTCAGTCAGCCCAGGGCTGAGCTCTGAGTTCTGAGCTCTGGTTTCTGAGCAGGGCTGAGTTCTGAGTTCTGAGCTCTGGTTTTTGTGCAGGACTGAGTTCTGAGTTCTGAGCTCTGGTTTCTGAGCAGGGCTGAGTTCTGAGCTCTGGTTTTTGTGCAGGGCTGAGTTCTGAGCTCTGGTTTTTGTGCAGGGCTGAGTTCTGAGCTCTGGTTTTTGTGCAGGACTGAGTTCTGAGTTCTGAGCTCTGGTTTTTGTGCAGGACTGAGCTCTGCTCCTGCCACAGGAACGTTCCCAGTGCTGCCAGAGGCTCCCAGGGGCACTGGGAGCTGCAGCCCCACAGCCCAGGCTTGGGAATGCCAGGAACAAGGACAATATTCACAGCTCCAGCCAGGCTGTTTCCCATTAGGAGTAAGAAAAATGTGAAGCCCTAGGAATTTTGTCAAGGCTTTTGATATGTGAGTACTCAGTGTTCTGCAAGAGGAAAATAAACTTTGATTAAAGACTGAACTCTGTTCCAGAAAGTCCCAGCACAATCCAGAGAGGCTTGTTCAGGTACCAGGAGTGTTGGGTTGAAGCCTCTTGCTGTGGCTCTCCATGGGCCTGCCATGCTTTTTGTGGAAGCTTGGAGGCTTCTTTCATTGCTTCTTGCCTGAATCTCCTTTTGGAATTTACTACACATAAATATTTATATAAATATTCAATGTTTATATGTAATACTTTGGTTGACCCTTTTAGAGCTTTTCTTTTGCTGAAGCTTCTCATTGAAGGTTTTGCTGTCACACTGTGAAGGTCAGAAAAATTCTGTGGACCATAAAGTGGAGACTTTTCAAGCTCTCTGGGTATCCCATGGCAAAAGTGAAGCTGCTTTTTTTCCTTGTTTTGAGGATAATCTTCTGCCATTTAGGAATGGTTTTTGATATTATTTGCTTTTAGAAACTTGACTGTGTGGATTTCTGTTCCATGTCTCCAAAAAGCAGACATTTGTGGAGCTGTGTACTGACAAGCAGAAAGACAAATTCAGAATAATCTGCTCTGGAAAGAATCCAAGTGTTTTAATTTGTATGTAATTCTAGTATCTCTCCTAGAGCCAAGTCTGCCCTCCTTAGGCTTGATGACAATGCTTAGCACACACTGTTTTTATCTTGAAAGCACTGCACAAACATGAACTAACCTGGCAGTTAAACCTTTAAACTTTCTTTTAGGTGACATTTACTGAGGTGTGAGAGCCACTGGCTGTGTCTGCATTGTCTGTAATGTTAAATACAGACCAGGAGCTCAGTGCAGGCTCCCAGTCCTGGGCTCCCAGGCTCTGGCAAAAGAGGGCATAGACCTGACATATATGATAGAAATCCCTCTTGTCTGATATAAATATAAATATATATATAAAAATAGCTAGTGCTGGTTCCTCCGGGTGGTGGAGGGAGACCCAGAGCACTCGTGTGTGTGGATCAGCAGCCCTGTGACCAGGGAGCAGCTCCTGCTGCGGGTCCCTCCTCCTGGAGACAGAATCCAGATTGCCCTGGAGGCTGGGGCTGATGGCACTGCTGTGAAATGAGCAGCACTGAGCTCCTGCTTCCACTCACTCTGCTCAGGAGCTGCATCCCAAAGCTTTTCTGGCATGATCCCCTGTTCCAGAAGCCCCAGAGCTGTCCTGCCATTGCTGCCATTCCGCTGGCATTTCCTTCATCTCGGTCAGGCACAGGGCAGGGTTGGGTGAGCAGGATGAAGAGTTCACCCAGAGCCACCCCTGCCGTGGCAGGGACACCTCCCACCATCCCAGGCTGGCCTGGGACACTGCCAGGGATCCAGGGGCAGCCACAGCTTCTGCCTTTTTCTTTTCTTAATTTAAATTTTTTGTATTATTTTTGTTGTAAAATATTTTTTATTTGAATTATTTTGCAAATGCTTCTGTCGGTTCCTGCAGAGGCCCTGCTGCCGTTTTGGGAGGGGGGAATTTTGTGCAGCTTAGAGCTGCTGTCATTCCCAGGGACAGGAGGACACATCACAGGGTGTTAAATCCTTGAGAACCATTCCTGGCTCCCTCAGATTGTGGTGCAGCTTTAAAAACCTTTATCTTTGTGCTGTTGCTGAGGGTTATTGTTGCTTCCCTCAGTTCCCTTAGCAGAAGAGGTGGCCTTTTTCTTTGGTGTCTTGGCAGATTTCCTCTTAAGTCTTATTTTAGCGAGTTGAAAGAGGAAGAGGGCACAGGGTGCTTTTTGAAGCCATATTCACTGAGGATTTATTCCCACCAGCGTTGTAAAGTCTGGAATAGTTACTCTGGAATTCTTTGCTGTTTTGAAGCAATTACAATTTCTTGGTTTCTCGGTTGTGAAGTAGAAGATATGGTCCTATAAAAGAAGAATATATCCGGGAGAAGCAATGAAACACAGAAAGGAGGGGCACAGGTTTTATTCAGTGCCCCAGGTTTATCCACTTGGTCTGGAGACAGGTTTTACAGGAGCTGGTGAGGGCATGGAGGGAGGAAAACAAACATGGTCAGCTCTCTTCAGCATGGAGTAGTGGGTGATTGAGCAGAATTGCTGCATGATGAATTTGGACATTTATTAATCCCCCCATTCCCTCACCTTTGTCCCTCCTTCTGTAGCCTGACCTGGAGTTCCTGGTGAGCAGATGCAGAGATGCTCCACTGCTGCCATTAGATAATGTTTGTGCACACATTTTCTGTAAGAACAGCTGAAGATGGGCACAGCCTGTCCTTTTCCTGCCCTGTGAAATCAACAGAGGCCTAGTTTAAAAAAAAAAAAAAAAAAAAGTTCCGTTATTAGTAAATACATCTTCAAAAGCTTTGGGTTTTGTCAACAGTGTGAGCAGCAGAAGGGGAGGGAGATGCTGGTGATGGTTCTCTGCGGGTGCTTGAGGGCAAACAGCACAAATTTTGTGATTTGGTGATTTTGTAGCTCTGGCTGTGTCACCTCTGTCACACCGTGTCTCTTTTTTCCATTAGCTGCAGGACAATGTGAGTAATCAGATTCCCCAGCGGATTGGAGCTGGGACACTTTCCCTGTTTGCTCTTGTGTGTGATTCAGAGTTTGGGCTGGGCTTGGGGAGGGGGGACTGCAGGAGGAGCTGCTGCTTGTTCTGTCTGTTCTCCTCCTCTTTTCTAATTTTGTCTTTGAATTTCTCCCTGCTCAGCTCAGCTGCTGTAAATCCCCAGGTTATGTGACCCTTGGTCTCTTCTGATAAAGGTCTTGAAAGGATGAAGATTTTTAGCAAACGTGCTGGACGATTGCTTTTAAGGACCTAATTGTGTTTGAACTCAGTTTTATTTCAAGTGTAGGCCAGCCCAGGTATTTTAGGATGCCCTGTGCAGGTGACTGTAGGACTGTAACCCTGACCTGCTTGCAGCTCTCCTGGTAACACGTTTGATGCTGTGCTATAAATAACTAGTGACTTTCCAAACATAATTAATTTCTTTATTGTCCTCTGAATAATGCGTGAAGCAGGTGTGAGCTCCACATCCCCTTCCAGCAGGATTTCCAGTTTTGAGGGCAGCTGCACCTTCTGGCTGTGCCTGAGCATCTCTTTTAAAGGTTTAAAGGTGTTGTGGTGCCAGCCCTCCTTGCTGCCAGCTGTGGGTCACAGCTGGGCTGGGCCCCCTCACCCCCTGCCTGCCACAATGGAGCTGATCCACACCTGGCTCTGTCTTTCAACCACGGCAAAATTAGCAGGGCTCAGTGTTGGAATACTTGAAGTTCTTGCTGGGTTCTGGTGGTTGGGACCCTGGGGCTGAAAATGTTTTGTGCTTGAATTCTCCTGAGCAGGCACAGTGTGTCTGTGTGTGTGTGTGGACAGTGTGTCTTCATCTTCAGCCTGGAGGGAGCAGGACAGGGCTGCCTTGGGGGAGTGGGGCAGAAAGTGCTGGAAGAACACAAAATGATCCTGAGACAACTGGCAGGAAAAGAAAGCAAGCACACTCAGAGAACTGGTGTCAAGAATAGTTGTTTTTGCCTTAGATCAGAGGGCCAGATGAGATCATTGATGTGAGAAGACATCACTGTGGAGGCTGATTTAGCTGAGTAAAGGCTTGTTTGCTTGAGCTGCAGTAGATTTTCAAAACCATTCTTCTCCTGCTTAGGTTGCTCTTGTAGCCATCAGTTCCTGTTTCCTCCCTTGCCTGTTGGGCTGGGGAGCTGTGGAGCAAATACAAATCCTTGTGGATGTGATCTTGGAGCCTCTTGGCATCTGAACAGAGCTTGAATTTGAACAGGAGATGGGATGGCTTCGAAAATCTGTTGTCATTTACTTAAAACTTCACTTAACATTTTCATCAACATCATTTTTGTTGATGGATCATTTACCACCCCTTCCTCCTTTTTTAAAGAAGGCTTCATAGTGGTCTAATCCAGCAGTGCTTTTCCTCAGTGATCCAAACTCATTTTTCTTTCCATCTTTAAAAAACCCCATAAATTCCAAGACTCTAATTTTGCCCTGTATTCTTTTGTGTCAGCTGCATTCAGTCAGAAGTGTTGAGTGTGTTTTCATGCTCTCTTTTGCTGTCAGTATCAGTGAACCATCTTGCTGTCAGTGATGTGTCTCACTACTTCTTGTTCCTTCAATCAAGGTTTATTTAGATTTTTGTTTTGCAGAAACTACTCAAAATGCCTCCTGTTCCTGGTCTGTCCTTTCAGCTCATCATCTGGGGTGTGGTTTATGTGCTCTGTGGGTGAGAACCATGCTGATGGCTTGGTCAAGAACCTGTCGAGTACCAAACATTTTTTCAAAGAGAATTATAATTATCTTTAAGCATTTAAACACATTTTTTTGTTATACGTGGAGTTTTAGATTTGGAGAAATTTAATGTGTACAAAAGCCACTGAAATGACCAGTGCACTTTGTGTCCATTCCCAGCAATGACCTGAATCTGAGGTGCTGGGAGGTGAACAGCATCTGCTGCCTGGAGATGTGATTTCCATGCACAGGGGTCCTTGTCCAAAATAAAATGGATTTTCTATTTCTATTTGTGTTTTACCTCTTGTAAAGTTTGGAGCATGGAGCTGTTTGATGGAATTGGGATTTCATTGAAGAATTCCTTGGCTGCTTCTCTCTTGGCTCAGATGTTCTTGCCCCCTTCTTCCTCCTTGTCTCCTTTTGCTGTGCCATCTGTCTGTCATCTGCTTTCTCATTTCTCTGACCTATTTATGAAATAGGTTTGCAATGGCTGCAGAGGAGTGTTGGAATTGTGACCAGACTTATTTCCAGTTCCCCTTCGTTCAGTTTTTCAGCTCCAGCCCATTGGATCCAGTGGGTGTCTCTGGTCTTGTCCTGAATGACACCTGAGTGGTTCCAAACTGGGCTGTGCAGAGAAGTTTGTGGATAAACCTCGGAGGCTGGGCTGTGTCTGAGGCCTGGCAGGAGCAGGAGGAGGGTTTGGGTTGCAGCTCTTGCTTGTCAGAGTTCAGTTTTCACAAAGAGGAACTTTCTTCCCGAGGCTTTGGACAGTGATTCCATTGTGCCAGGGCTGCAGGGCATGAAGGGGCACATTGAGGTGCTGTCACCAGTCCAGCTTGTGAGTCCACACCTGTCGAGGGGCAGCAGCAGCCTCTGGGCTCCTGCCCTTGTGCTCTCTCCTTTCTCATGTGCCAGGATTAAGGCTTGGGTTTGCTGCAGCTGGTCTCAGATCTCTGGAGCAGGGATGGATGTTGGCACACAGGGGATGAGACACCACTGTGGAGCAGCCAGCATGGGAGGGGGGCTCCTTTTGTGGAATCCTGGAATGGTTTGGCTTGGAAAGGACCTGAAAACCCACCCAGAGCCACCCCTGCCCTGGCAGGGACACCTCCCCCTGTCCCAGGGTGTCCCAGGGTCCAGCCTGGCCTTGGGCACTGCCAGGGATCCAGGGGCAGCCACAGCTGCTCTGAGCACCCTGTGCCAGCCCTGCCCACCCTCAGAGTAAGGAATTTCTCCCTAATATCCAATCTAAACCTGCTCTCCCTCAGCTTAAGGCTGTTTCTTCCTTTTCCTTATGTATTCCAGAAAATTGCCTACAATCCCTCAAATCTTTTCCTGGTAAAGCAGGAATTTTATAACTTGTCATGTTCCAGTCCAGGGCCTCGTGTCCCACCCAGCAGCTCTTCTGGCAGGGAGGGAGTGCTCTGAGTTGGAGATATTTTTCTGCTTTTTAAAAATGATTGAAAAGATCTTAATATGATCTGGGCTGGACAGTGCCATACACACAGGGAACAAAGCATAGGATTGGATTTGTTCTGGAAAGGGCACTTCCTTCAAAAGTGTTTGTCCAGTCTCAAATGCTGCAAAATCAGAGCTTTGGGGGAAGGGTGGATTTTAAAAACAAAACAACAAAAAGGCAAAATAACGCTGGATGCAGGCTTCTGTAGATCAGGTCATGTTTTCTTCTCTAGGTCAGACATGATAATAAATATACTCAGGGTTACTAAAGGGGAGAGAAATATCTGTAGCTTTTTGAGTTTTGTTTGTAGTTTGTTTGTTTTTTCTTCTTGAGACATTGCAGAAAGAAAATGGAGCACAAGGGGACAAAAAGAATTGCTGAACACCGGGTGTCCTTTCCCCAGCTTTAGGGAATAGCCAGAGAGTCTCTGAAGAGGAGGAGGAGGAGGAGGAGGAAGCATTGGGGAGGGTGTAGCAGTTGTGACATGGGAACAGCTGCTCAGTCCTGCTCCCCAAATTCACATTGAAGATGCCTCATATAGCTGAGCTCATAAAAAGCCCAAACAACAGAGTTACTGCATGAGTGGATTGTTAACCTGCAGCTGACCCCTCGCTTTTAATCTCAATAAATGAAATGCAGCCCATATAATCACTCCTAAATTTGTGTGTATCTGTGACTCGTGTTCTGCTCCAGAAGAGCCTGGCAGTGGGGGGAGAGGGCAGCTATAGGATCAGAGATGCCACAAGGTGAAAACCCCCACTTTGTTCTGCTTTTCTTCACCCACCTCCCCTGTACTTGGGAGGGAGTGTGGGCCTGATCAGAGGGAGCCTTTTTTGGCAAGTGTTTAATTAATTAAAAGAGAGAAGGTAGTAAATTGATGGTTACAGTGGAATGTCTTCTGTGATGCTAAAACCATTCCACTCTGAAGTGATCTTGTGCCTGGGACAATAAATACCCCACAGATAACAGAGCCTCTTGACTGTGAGCCAGAACTCCTCTGGCCATTTAATAGATGAGAAAAAGATGTCAAGTACCAGGGCCAGGATCAAACGGCAAATCTGTGATGGAGCATGGAATTAGCAGCCTGGGACTGGGGGCCCAGCTCTGAGCCTTTTAAACCACAAGATTTTATTCTTCCCCCCCTGCTCTGCCACGTTGCAGAAGATGGATGAGAGCCCTCGGTCGGGATTCCTCCGTGGCAGTGTCCTGGAATTCCCTGAGGAAAGGTCTTCCTTTGTGATGTACTAAATAAATATTAGATTCCCACCACGGCTGTACAGACATGGACTCTGCTGTCAGCTTCTTGCCTTTCTCCTTTTTGTTTGTTCTTCACTTTTCTCCCTGGCCAGATGTGGATTTCCTCCTTGAAGCCTGCCTGCAGTTACAGTGATAGTTCCTGTCTTGTCTCTTGTGAGCTTTAGGCTCTGTAGGAGAAATGCCTCTGCATCCTTGTGCCTTCATGGACCCTGCAGAGTTTATCCTGCAGAGTGGTTGTGTAAACTTTTCCTGAGGACGAGGCCCTGGCAGGGCTGTCCTGGTCAGGCTCCCTCAGGGTCTCCTGCAGCAAACACAGTCTGTGATTTGGATGGTTCATGTCCCCATCCAACACTGAGTTTGTGAGCATCAGCTCCAGGCTCCTCCAGACCCTGCTTCCTTCCCCCTCCAACGCTTGTGTGCTCTCAGGGTTTGAATGGCTCTGCTCCCTTCCAGCACAGTAAATGGGGGGTCTGTAGTTTGAACATTAAGGCCTTTGTCAGCCCACAGTGAGTAGCAGAGCTCTCCTGTGGCCAAAGCCGTGTTTGGGGGTCCTTGTTTGCCGTGGGGCTGTGTTGAAGGATGGTTTGGATGGTGGAGCTGGCAGAGCCGGGCTCTGTGTCCTCCCCAGGGTGGGCAGGAGGGTGGGAGCTCAGGGCTCAGCTGCAGCCCCAAGTGGAGCCTTGGCTCCTTTTTGTCTCCATCCCTTCCTGTAGATCACCCAGCGTTGTTGTTCACTCCGGTGTGTGCCACCTCTGCTGTGTTGGGTGAAATGCTTCTCCTTTCTACTGCCCAGGAGTGGCTGGGGTCTAAATTTGTTTCTGGCAAACACCTTCAGAAGATAGTATGGGCTGAAATAGTGGCTCTTGAACTGTGCTCTGTGGCACCATGCAGAGGGGTTTGCAGATTCATTAAATGATGGAAAACTTGATAAAGGAGCCAGGAATGCCCGAGAAATTCAGGGGTGTTGACAGACATCCACTGGTGCCAAAGCTGTGATGAGCAGTGGAGAGAAGTGACACGAAGTGTTGGTGGTTGAATGCAGATGAGATGGGAAGCTCCCTGAAAACCCCTCATTAGTGGCCAGAGTTGCTCTTCTGGAAGATTCTTCGACCTGAGAAAGAGCTCAGCCCTTTCTTGGAAAGCAGAGCTGCTCTTTTGTGTCTCCCATTTGATGTTTGAATTCAGTGTTTCTTCAGTCCTTTGTGTGCCAGAGCATCGCTGATAAAAGGGGTTTCACGTGGCCCAACAATGCAGAGTGTGCCTTTCTTCTCATGGAAATACAACTGGATTTTCACGTTGTTTTGGCCATCTCCAGCCACCCCCAGGAGAGCTCTGCCCAAAGCTCCTTCCATTTGTACCCCCAGTTCACCCACCCCAAGGCAGCAGCTCCCCTGCATCCCCAGGGATGCCGGTCTCACATTCGATCCGGTGCCATGAAACCTTTCTGCAGCTCTGCTGTGGAGCACAATTGCTCAGTCCATCATTTATATTAATTTATAGCTTCTGATGTGCTGCCTGTCCACAGGTGAGTGGCTGGGAGCAGCCCACGCCATCCCCGTGCTCCATGGCCCCTTCCTTTCCTCCTCTGGCTCACATCAGTCTCCTGTTCTCCCTCCCATTGCTCTCTGCATTTCTTCTGTACTCCACAGCAGTCCTGCAGCCAGGATTATTTTATCCCATTTCTTAGATAAAGGGCTTGGAGGCCAGAAATGTGTTATTTCTGTGTTAACTGGAAGAGCTCTTTGGGTTGAGAGAGGAAACTTTGCTTGGATTGATGCCAGAAATAGCACGGCTGTCCCTTCCCTTGAGTAAATGACCTTCAGATTTCATATTGATGTGTAGCTTTATTCTCACTCTGATTTAGACTGAAGATGTGATCTTTGCTGGGAGCTGTGTTGGGAGGGGCACGGGTAGGGACTTTGTCCAAGAGGGGCTGCAGAGGAGCTGAGCTCAGCACCACAGGGAATATCTGCATCCATGGGTGTTCCTGTTGCTGTGAACAGGGATGACCTCCCCGTGCTTCAAGCCAAAAAAGAAAAGGAAATTTCATTTTTCCTACAGCTCTGAAGCTGCTGGAATTGAAGGCTTGGAAATCAGGGCAAGCCCCTGAGTGAGTGGTCCTGAGCTGGGATTCACTGGTGGAATTTGCAGATTGCTGCTCCCTGGCAGGCAGGAGCCTTGGGACTGCTCCTGCTTGGTGAATTCATACCTCTGATCAGTTCTGCTTGTGTGCTGCTTCAGTGTCCCCTAGAATTCAATATTCATTCTCCCTTACTCCAAGCCCAGCCCTTTTCAGCAATGTTTGGCACTGCTGAGAATTTCTGCTTCTGCTGGAAATCTTCCCAGGCTTCTACCTGGTTTGTCCTGATGTCATTACATGGTTCAAACAAATGTATTTTTTAGGATCACAGAATGGTTTGGGTTGAAAGGAGCCTTAAAGCTCATCCCATCTCAGCCCCTGCCATGGGCAGGGACACCTTCCACCAGCCCAGGTTGCTCCAAGCCCCGGGCCTTGAACATTCCCAGAGATGGGGAGTCAGAAACTCTCTGGACTTCTCGGCTGATGCCTTTGTGTGAGCTTAAAATCCTCCTTGCTCTAATGAACTATGAGGAAAACTGAAAAAAACCAAAACTTATTAGGAGATTTTTGTGAGGAGGGTTTAGAGCTTCTGTGTTCAGGTAAAGAGCAGAGTGTAATGTGTGATCTCGGAGCCGTGTTCAGGAGCACGCTGTTGGAATTCTGCATTTGGAGTCGTGTTTGCAGAGCTCTCTCCTCTTCCTCCCAGCACATGAAAGAGCAGATAAGGAGGGTGAGGTCATCCCAGCAGTGCAGAAATTTCCCAGGCCTCGAGCTGAGCCTGTCTCAGTGTAATCACTTATCCTGAAGTTTCATTTTGATCTTGGGCTGCAGAACCTGTGGAGTTAAACAAAAGCCCCCCTGGTCCCCATGAGCCATGACAAAACACCCTTTGACCTCAGGTCTTAATGGCTGCATAATGAGAAGTGAAGAGACTGAAGCTGCTTTTTCATCCCTGGCAAGATGGGAGTATCCCGTGCTGCCCACTCCTCTGTTGGTGTTTACTGGGTGGGGGTGAAGAGGAAGGCTCTATCTCCTGTGAGATAAACCGAGAGGAAAATGAAAGCAGCTTTTATTTGTAG